TTTCCAAGCTCCTTAGACTACGATGACCTGGATGACTGAGAACCTTCACACACCCTTCTATAGAACCATGATTAACTCTATTAAAAGCCCCCTCTTGATCTAGTGTGATACAGATGGCAAATGTCTATCTTCTAAAAAGCCCAAACATGTATATGAAGTTGGATGTTCCATGAAATATTCTTTCCTTTAACCCCACTTGTTTGATCTTTATCAACTATATATGGCAGGGCTGCAGCTAATCAGTTTACAATTGTCTTACACAATATCTTGTATTTCACACATAATATTTTTATACAATAGAGAGATCACACATGTGCATGCTCTTACTCGTTTCCTAACTGCTATAAATTTCATTTCAATTTCATTTCATTGATAATCTCTCCCAAATGGCTTCTCAGTAAATCTCAAAATGTCATGTAAATTTCTCGTCTCAGTCTATCTATTCCAGGCACCTTCCTGTTTTTCATTGAATTCAAAGCAATGTATAGTTCTTCTTTAGTAATATCTGTTTCTAATTTTCCTTTTTTATCCAAGGGTAAAAAAAACCCCTCAAAACAAACAAAAAACAAACGTAAAAATGTACTCCCCATTTCAAAAGTGACTTGAAAAAGTTGGGTGCAATGTGATGCAGCCTCCTCCAATAGTTCCTCCTGTTTTAGCCATGACCCCATCATTCCTTTGCAGTTCCTTTATTGATCCTCTTTTACAATGTATTTTGACTTTTCTGAAAAAATAGGCAGAGCATCTTTCATTTGCATATATTCCTGCTTCTGCACTTTAAATGTACAAGCTTTTTTCTAAAAAGTGTCCTGCAGTAATCTCTATCCATACTTACACCATTAGAATTGTCAGTAGAATATATATTGCCAATTTCTTTTTGTGTGGAATTTAACATCAATTTTGATTTACTTATTTTTTATCTTTCTTTGCAATATTTTATTATATAGCATTTTATTCTTTGTTTTGCATGTTTCCACCAATTCACAAGGTTGGAGTATAGATTCCTGGTCCTTTAAAAGGGGCTGAAAGCTGGACCTAAAATTGTTATCGCTAAGAATGAACAAAAAACTAAGAAATATTAGCAGACCGTATTTGCTTGTAGTAAAAATGTAATCTAACTGGGGTTTTATTCCTCTGTTTTCCCAAGTATCTCCAGGATCATCCTTACATATCTCCCTAAAATCGTCTAGTAAAGCAAATTCTTTATAAATAATTTTAGCAGCAAAAGATGTTTACCTCTGTCTACTGAGCCATTTAAATCACCCTCCACAACAAATCAAATCAAATCACTTTTATTGTCACA